CTTACTTGGAAAACCACATAATATGAAAATGAGAATAAGAACAGACCCTTGAGAACAGATGTTAAAGAAGATTTTATGCAGAGATTCTAAATCTAAAAAAATTGGAGCAATTTAAACTACTTTAATTTTCTGAATGTAAGAATGTACTGACACTTTTTTAAAGCTCCCAATGGGAGTGTTTTTACCCCTCATCTCACCAACATACATCTTCATATGGATATTTTCAAAATATGTTTTTAGTTGTAGATAACACAATACCTTTATTTACTTATTTTTATGTGGTGCTGAGGACTGAACTCATTGCCATGCTCTACCACTGAGCTACAACCCCAGACCAATATGGATGTTTTCAGTCAGTGTCTTTCTTAATATTTGCCTTGAAATATAATCATGAGATGCCAAACCAACAGTTTTCAAGTATAAAAATGACTTGCATTTTCTAGTTCACATTACTCTTCTCTCAGGATGATTTGAAAGACTAGTAAGCTTCACTCTCCTTCCCCAATCCTCTATTTCTAGAACCTGACCTATACTTCCTGCTGCTTAGTGAAATTTTTTTAGTTGAATCCCAAAGAAATACCAACTTTTCCCAAACAACATATCACATTATTCACAATAGTCAAAAGGGAGAAGCAACACTAGTGTTCATTCACAGAAGAATGGATAAGCAAAATGTGATATACACATAAAACGGAATATTATTCAGTCTTAAAAAGGAAGAAAATTTTGACACATGCTATAACAGGGATGAACTATGAATATATTTATGCTAAGTGAAATAAGAAATTCACAAAAAACAAATATTATGTGATTCCACTTATATGAGACAGCTAGAGTAGTCAAATTCATGGAGACAGAAAGTGGAACAGTGGTTGTCAGGAGCTAGAGGTAGGAGGGAAAGGGGAGCTCATGTTTATGAGTACAGAGTTTTCGTTTTGCAAGATGAAAAAGTTCTGGAGATGAATGGTGATGATGGTTGTGGAATGACTGGAATGTATGTAATGTCATAAAACTGCACACATAAAATTTATGTTTATATTTTATCACAATTAAAAAAATAAACAACATATTTTCCCCAGTAAATCTATTTCCCCTCCAATATAAATTTCATTGGTCATCTAACTCACCTTACATTCCAAACCCAACCACCAAATTCTATAGAGTCTCTCTCCAAAAATTCCCTTTCCATTTCCAAGGAAACTGCCTAAGTTTGATTCTTACCTCTCACCTCCACTACTATTTTCCTAAGCCATCCTCCACATTGCCTTTAGAATGGTCTTTTATAATACAGATATCATCACACCACTCTCCCATGTAAGAACCTTAAAATAATATTTATAATAGTAATGTTCATAGAACAAAATCCAACTTCTTTTTTTTTAGAGAGAGAGAGAGAGAGAGAGAGAGAGAGAGAGAGAGAGAGAGAAAGAGAGAGAGAGAGAGAGAGAAAGAGAGAGAGAATTTTTAATATTTATTTTTTAGTTCTCGGCGGACACAACATCTTTGTTGGTATGTGGTGCTGAGGATCGAACCCGGGCCGCACGCACGCCAGGCGAGCGCGCTACCCCTTGAGCCACATCCCCAGCCCAAAATCCAACTTCTTTTTAATAACAAAGCAAAAACCAAAACCAAACAAACAAAACAAGTCTTCAGAATAAGATTCATTCTTTACAGGCTCATCTTTCCTAACCTCCTTCATAAGTGCTAGTTATTCTGATCTCCTCAGTTCCTTGAACACTCCATGTTCTTTTGTGCTTCAGCGCAAACCCTACTTAGAATGCCCTTTTCTCCTTTACTGATATGGATAGTTCCTACTTTTCCTTTCCAACTTAGATCCAACAGCCAGTTCTCAGAATCCGCTCTAATCCACTATTCTCTTCCTACTACTGCAAGGGCATCCTCATTCTACTTCCACTCCTATCATTCAGGAGTTTTCTTCTTTGTACAGGCATCTCTACAGACCACCTTAGTATTGTTTCTTCCAATGAAGTGAAACACACAATTTTTTTTGGTTTCCTACTGCATATAAAATTATATTTAAGATGGGCATGGTGCACATGCCTATAATCCCAGCTACTTGGGAGGAGGCTGAGGCAGGAGGATCCCAAGTTCAAGGCCAGCCTAGGCTTGGAGAAACACTGTCTCAAAATAAAATAAAAAGGGGTGGGGGAGACTGGGGATGTAGTTCAATGACCCTGGGTTCAATATGCAGTATTGAAAAAAATAGTTGTATGTACACTATACTTTTGTCTATTAAATGTACAAAAATATGTCTAAAAAACAATGTATATACCTTATTTCAAAAATATGTCTAAAAACAATGTATATACCTTATTTCAAAAGAACTATCACCGAAAATTGTTAATGTTCGTCTGAGCCTTCGGTAACTCATAATGTTTTTGCTGGTGAAGGGTCAGCCTTGTTGATGGCTGCTGCTGGTCATGGAGGGGGTGTTGAAGGTTGGGGTGGCTGTGGCAATTTCTTAAGACAACAATGAAGTCTGCTACATTAATTGACCCTCCTTTCATGAAAGATTTCTCTACAGTATGTGATGATATTTCATAGCATTTTACCCACAGCACAACTTCTTTCAAAATTGGAGTCAATCCTCTTAAGCCTGCCATTGCTTTATCAACTAAGTTTACAAAACATTCTAAATCCTTTGTTGTCATTTCAACAATGATGATGATCACAGCATCTTTACCAGAATAGATTCCATGTCAATAAACTTTCTTTGTTCACCCATAAAAAGCAACTCCTCACTTATCAAAGTTTTATCGTGAGGTGGCATCAATTTAGTCATGTCTTTGGGTTCCATTTCTAGTTCTCTTGAACTAGAGATAGTGCACATGTACAGTTACTTCTTCCACTGAAATCTTGAACCCCTCCAAGTCATCCGTGAGGGTAGGCTGGAATCAGCTTCTTCCAAATTCCTGTCCATGTTGTTATTTTGACCTTCTCCCTTAAATCACAAATGTATTTAATGACATCTAGAATAGTGAATCCTTTCCAGAAGGGTTTACTTTGCCCATATTCATCAGAGGAATCACTACTTCTGGCAGATAATAGACTTAAGAATGTATTTCTTAAATAATAAGACATGAAAATAAAAATTACTACTAGATCCATGGGCTGCAGATTGGATGCTGTTTAGCAGGCATGAAAGCAACACAACACTAATCTCATTAAATAGCTCCATCAGAGCTATTGGATGATGAGGTGCACTGTCAATGAGTAGTAATATTTTGAAAAGAATTCTTTTTTTTTTTTTTTTTTTTTTGGTAAGCAAGTCTCAACAGTGAGCTTAAAATATTCAGTATACCTTGTTATAAACGGATGTGCTGTCATCCAGGTTTTGTTGTTCTATTTACAGAGCACAGACACAGTAGAGTTAGAATAATTCTTAAGGGTCCTAGGATTTTCAGAATGATAAATGACCACTGGCTTCAACTTAAAGTCACCAGCTGCATTAACCCTTAACATGAGAGGTAGCTTGTTCTCTGAAGGCAGCCATTGACTTCTCTCTAGCTAAGAAAGTCCTAGACTACATCTTTTCCCAATAAAAGTTGCTTCGTTTACAATGAAAATTTATTGTTCAGGGTGGCCACCTTCATCAGTTATCTAAGCTAGGTCTTCTGGATAACATGCTGTAGCTTCTACACCAGCACTCACTGCTTCACCTTGCACTTGTATGTTGTAGAGTTGACTTCTTTCCTTAAACCTCATGAATCAACCTCTGCTAGCTTCAAACTTTTCTTCTGCAGCTTCTCTTAGCCTTAGCAGAATTGAAGAGAGTTGGGGCCTTGCTCCACGTTAGGCTTTGTCTTAAGGAAATGTTGTGACTGATCTGATCTTTTATCTAGACTATTAAAACTTTCTCCATAGCAGCAATAAGGCTGTTCTACGTTCTTATCATTTGTGTGTTCACTGGAGTAGCACTTTTAATTTTCTTCAACTGCTTTTCAACTCTGCATTCACAACTGGATAACTCTGGAACAAGAGGACTAACTTCTGGCCTATTTTAGGTTTTGACATGCCTTCTTCACTAAGCTTAATCACTTCTAGTTTTTTATTTCAAGTGAGAGACATGCAATTTATCCTTTCATTTAAACACTCATTGTAGGGTTATTACATTGCCTAATTTTAATGTTGTGTCTCAGTGATGAGGAAGACCAAGGACAGGGAGAGAGATGGGGAACTGGTCAGTTGGTGGAGCAGTCAGAATGCTCACAACATATCCATTAAGTTTACTGACATATGGGTATGGTTTGTGGATATAATTACAAAATAATTACAATAGTAACATCAAAGATCACTGATCACAGATCATCATAACAAATATAGTAACAAAAAAAGCTTAACTATTGCAAGAATTACCAAAATGTGACATAGATGCACAATATGAAACAGGCCTTTGGAAAAATGATGCAACACACTTGCTTAATGTAGGATTACCACAAACTTTGAGTTAGTATAAAAAGCACAAATGTGCACAGTACAATAAAGCAAAATGCAATAAAATGAGGTATGTCTGTATTCACATTATTCCTTGTATTTCCTGTACAGTATTTTAATATTTGCCAAGAGCAAGGGCTCTGAAGCCAGACTGCTGTGGTATTAATCTGAGCCCAGCATTTACTAGTAATCTTCCAAGTTACTTAACCCCTTTGATCCTCAGTTTTACTAGTTATAAATGAGGATTATAGCATCTGCCATGAAGAGCTGTTGTGAGGATTAAATCTTGTGAGGATTAAAGCATTCAAAACCATACTTGATTCTTAATAAGGTATCGCTAGTGATGGTAGTGGTGGCAGGAACATTTCTGACACAATACTGCCATCTCCTCAAAAGCAAGGTATTCCAAAAGCCTTGAACAGTATTTACAGGAACTTAAGAAAGAGTTTGGAAGGAAGAACAGAGGGAAGGAAGGAAGGATGAGAAGAAGGAAGAAAAGGAAGGAGAGAAATAGACAAAAACAAATAGAATTGGGAAAGACTTACCACCATTTTTGCCCACAGTTCGAAAGCATCTCCAGAAGGCCCGTAAAAATGATGCCCTATTGTGGGGGGTGGCTTGGATAAAGCTGAATTCTCGAAAGAGAATATGAGTTCCCTGGCATACACTGGTAAAACTGCAAAGACAAAAATTAAATCATCATCAGATGGAATTCAGAAAGCTGCATTCAGAATGAAAATTTAATACCAGAGAGAACCACTGCCAAAGACGTGGGAGAAATCTATCTTTTCCCCCAACAAAACTTGGAAATACAGATTAGACAAAATCCTTCTAAAGGGAAGTCTCTTCAGATAACCACATCCCTCTGAAAATTCTTGAGTCCAGTTCCTCTGAGTACTTCCTGCCTACAACATGTGCACATTGAGGATATTATTTAATCAGTCAATGGAGAATTCCCTCTTATAAAGGGAACTCTTTCGATCTTTACCTGGATGATACAGGCACTCTTTTTTTGGAGAATATTTCTCTTTCTATCCCATTCGGAATTATGCTTCCCTAAAGTATTCTTTCTGTACTGCCCTTGGTCTATAGCAGCTGCCCTAAGGATAACATGGCTAATTGGGGGGGGGGGGTAGTGTCTGTTCTAGTTTAGGGGTGCTGCTATATACCTCCCTAACAGTAACCCCAGAGACAAATCATATGTGGAAAAGGACAGGAAAAGTTCCAAACAGTACACTAAAGGCAAATAGGAAGAACAAGGGTAGAAAGTGGCCCCTAACTAGAGAATGGAGCAAAGCCCCAGGGCCCAAGTGAGTCAGTGTTTAAACTGGGCCAGGGAAGGGAAAAAACACACTCCATTGCCTTTGGGTTCCCTGCCAAAGAAATAAAGGCTGTAGAGCTTGGCGTAATCTAAAAATGGAAATTCCACAGAAGAAAAGGCAATTATCCAGTAATCATCCCTACCAAGGGCCAACTGCAGGTTCCAGAAAACTCCTAAATTCTCTGACAAGTAAATCACGGGTGGAAAACATGTTAATCTTTGTGGAGAAGCAGACACTAAACTGAAGATGGCAAGCAATGGAGGGAACAGTGGTAATTCCAAGCTCCAGTTTGCATCTGATGACCATCTAAAGCGGGTGGGGATCTGAATCTCCAAACTGAACAGGAAAAGAATCTCACTGCCCTTCTCCTAGACCAAATTTAGGGGAAAGTTTTTACTGTCTTTAACAGAGACTATGCTACCATTTAGGATAAAATCAGCCTCTTCCTATTAATATTAACAGTACTATAATAAAAAAGCAAATTGCACACTCATCTTTTCTCTTAGAAAACTAGCATAGAAATCCACTTTTAAGACACTATAAGAAAGTATAAGAACAACATCTGTCAAAGGATTATGTTAGAAGAGAGGTTTTTAAAAATCTGTTAAAGTGTTAAACCTCCCATGCCGTTTATGTCCTACACAGGAAAATGAAAATACAGCAAATGAGCTGTTCCAGGTAAATGGGTCAGGCTACATTTCCAGCAAAAGAAGCCTAAAATGATAACATTGTAACCTACATTTATAAAGCAATCCCACAAAGAATTAGGCCCAAAGTGTGTTTCATACCCTAAGGGGAAAAGCTGGTGTTTAGGCTGTGGTCTAAGCAGCAAACAACTAATAATAGTGAAACTATATCCTTTTAATAGCTTTTAATGCCACATTTTGCATAAAGCCTTTCCCTCATCCTATCCCCTACCTCCAATTCCCCTCTTATCTCACAGTTCTCAAAAAAACACTATTTCATTGTTTTGTTTTGTTTTAAAGTTCTTTTAGACTGCAAGTTCATGTAGTAAACAACTGGGTTGTACTCATCTTTGTCTCTACTGTTACCTAACACAAAGATACTCCATAAATGTTTGTGGTAGTTGATTTTGAAAGATAAGAAAAAATTAGTAATATCAAATAGAATGAATATCTGCAGCTCTCTATAATGAAATACTAAAAGTCCATATTTTATAATGTTTTTAAAAGTCTAGGCCTTTCTTCTGGTATTGTAATGTTGCAATTGGCCTTCTTTTGATTAGTATTTTCCTGGTGTATCTTTTATTATTATGTACCTTTTATGTCTTTAATTTTAAATTTTCCAGATCATTTTGTTTTAGGTGTGTCTCTTATAAATAGTATATAGTTTAATTTTGTTTCTCTATCCTAATTTATAGTCTCTATATAGTAAAATATGTATTTTAAGTGTATTTAATTAACATCTGACATTTATTTGGTCCTTTCCGTGAACTGTCTTTCTTTGCCTTTTTCCCTCTTTTCTTGCTTTCTATTTTGTTGGTACAGTTTTGTGTTTTTTTTTTTTTCAAAAAAATTCTTTCTACTTCTTTGTTAGTAAAGGTATAGACAGAATCTGAAATCTTTTAAATATTCTTTAAAATTTAGCATACTTACATTTATTTATTATATTTAGCATATAAATATTTATGTGTACATTTTTCTCAAATGTTGACAGTTACTCACTATCACTCTAAAACAAGACAAGGATCAAAGCATCCTTGAAGTTGCTGAGGCTGGCTTTGAACTTGCAATCCTCTTGTCTTAGCTTTCTGAGCTGCTGGTTTTATACGCCTGTGCCATGGCTTCAAAGCACACTTTAAATAATTTACACACAGTTTTCACATTTTCTATTATCTTTTAGAATTTTACTTCTACATTTTTAAAATGGAAAACTTTTTAAGGTAGTGAAATATATATAATTTTCATCATATTAGTCATTTGTCAGTGTGCAATTCAGTGGCATTAAAAATATTCACAATAACCAGGTGTGGCAGTACACACGTATAATCGCAGCAGCTCAGGAGGCTGAGGCAGGAGGACTTCGAGTTCAAAGCCAGCCTCAGCAATTTAGTGAGGCTCTAAGCAACTCAGTGAGACCCTGTTGCCAAATAAAAAAACAAAAAAGGGCTGGGACGTTGCTCAGTGGCTAAGCACCCCTGGGTTCAATCCTGAGTATCAAAAAAATAAAACTAAAAAAACTAAAAATTCACAAAGCTGCACAACCATCACCACTATCTATACCCAAAACATTTTGTCATCTCCAACAAAAACCATATATCCATTAGATAGTAAATAATGTCTTTTTTTGGCCTCCCACTAGACTATGGTAACCTCTATTTCACTTTCTGTCTCTGTAATCTACCTATTCTAGATACCTCATATAAGTGGAATCTTACAATATTTGTCCTTCTGTGTCTGGCGTGTTTCACCATGGATAATGTTTTTTAGGGTCCACACATGTTGTGGCATATATCAAAATCTCTTTTTAAGAATTAATAATGTGGGCTGGGGCTGGGGCTGTAGTTAAGTGATAGAGCACTCATCTAGCATGTGTGAGGCCCTGGGTTCAATCCTTAGCACCAAGTAAAAATAAACAAATAATAAAAGTATTGTGTCCATCTATATCTAAAAATATTTTTTAAAAAGAATAATGTTTCATTGTATGCATATACAATATTCCACCTTACTTCCCCCTTTCGTTATTGTGAATAAAGCTGCTATCATTGGTGTACAAGCATCTGTTCTCATTTTGCTTTCAACTCTTTTGGATATATACCTAGGGTGCAATTGCTGGGTCATATGGTAATTCTATGTTTAACCTTTTGAGACACCACCAAGCTGTTTTCCAGAGTGGCGGTATTATTTTACTCTTAGCAGCCATGAATGAGGGCTCCCACTTCTCTGAGTCCTCACCAACATGTGTTCTTTTCCTTTTCTTTTTTTTTCTTTTCTTATAGCCAACCTAGTAGGTATGATAGTATCTCATTGTTTTGATTTGTATTTCCCCAATACCTAATGATGTTGATTGAGCATCTTTTTGTATATTTATTAGACATATATAAAATCTTTGGAGAAATGTCTATTCAAGTCCTTTGGCTCCTCCATCCCCAGCAACTCAGGCTCTTGGTGCTGGGGATTCAACCCAGTGCCTTGTGCATGGTAGGCAACACTACCACTGAGCTAGACCCCTATCTCTGGTCATTTTTCAATTAGATTTTTTGTTTTGTTGCTACTGAGTTGTAGAGGTTCTTTGTATATTCTGTATACCAATTCTTTAACAGATAAAGATTTGCAATTATTTTTTTCCTATTCTATGGGTTGTCTTCCCTCCGCCCCCCACCTCTCGTAGCTCTGTTAGACCCAGGGCCTGGCACCTGCTAGGTAGGCACTCTACTACAGAGCTACATCCCCAGTTCTTTTTCTTCTAAGACAGGATCTCACTAAGATGCCAAGGCTGGCCTTAAATTTCTGATCCTCTGTCTCAGCCTCCTAGGTAGCTGGGATTATTAACCAAGCCAGGTTATCACTCTTGGCTTGGATTATGATTTCTCAGTAGTTACAAACCTTTAGCTCTATCAGCAGAAGCCTGTGAGAGGTGAATGATCTGTTTGCATCTGCCTAAAAATATCTATCTTCCCTTCTGGAGAGAGATGGTTTATTCAGTGGAAAATTCTGGGTTACCACTTAGCTTTTCTTAGCACTTTCAAGATACTACTCCATTATCTGGTACCTATCATTGTTATCAAGTCCACAATTTGTCAAACTCCTGCCATCCCTTTGAGTTAATCATTCTTAATTCATATTAGCTATTGTCTTTATTATTAATATCCTGCAGATTCTACCATATAGATTTATTTTGGCCCTGCACAGCACTTTAATCTGATATTTTGGGGTCAATTCTGGGAAATTCTATCATTATCTTTTGAAATATTGCTTCTTTACCAGTTTATCATTTTGCCTCCTATTTTATATATATAAGTATATATATATATATATATATATCTCGCCACTCAATGTCTTTTGCCTGTCTTCTCATAGTTTTTATCTTTTGCTATAGTTAGTATCTTCCATATTAATTCTCTATTCTATTATGTTTTATCTAGATTTTATTCTATTGAATTTTGGTTTTTCTTAATTTCAGAAACTTATTTTATCTTTCCAGGATTTATCCTTTAAAGAAAACACATAGTTTTTTCTTAATTTTGCATGTTTTATCTCCCAATTTTCTTTTCTTTTAAAATAAACATCAATACTCTCTTTAGCTAAGAATCCTATACATGTTTATTGAGTTTCTGTCTGGCTTTCTTAGCATTAGTTTCCCTTATATAGTTTACAGTTTCAGTGTACAGGCT